GCGCAGCCCCGGCAGACGCGTACGGACTGCAGCACTGACGCGCAGCCCCGGCAGACGCGTACGGACTGCAGCACTGACATGTTAGCTTAGCATCGATTCACCTCATAGGCCTGAGGGCTGGTGAGACACCGTGCCAGTGGACCCCAGCAAGCAGGCAGAGTGGCTGTGAGGGGGGGGCCGCTGTGTGTCAGGATTGGCTTCAGATAGCTGAGTGGAGGGGGCTGAAGTCAAAGGCTGAACAACAGGAGGTGAGGCACTGCTTAGCAATAACAGTAACACAGTGGATGCTACCAACTATGCCTTCAGTTTACCTAGATGGAAGCATATGCTAAAGGATCAGAAGGGAAAGCGCCATCTGCTGCATGTAGCTGGTACTACAATTTAACACAGAGCACTGCTAGTGGAGCATAAACATTTCTTTGGTCAAACTCTACTAATCTAGAAGATGCAGATCACAATGTGTCCCAGCAGGAAATCCTTCACACCTACAGACCTGTGGTGAAAGTCATCAATAAGCAAACTGAAAAATGTCCTTTGGTTTCTGCTAAAGGATACTTGTGGTCAAAGTTGTACCAGAGTCTGAACGGCCAAGCGCTGTCGTGTTTGGCCCGGCGCTCGGATCCATCGGGGGCATTCAGCTGTTCCAAAACACAGACACACCGTTTAAGACGGAGCGGGGCAAGGAGCAAGGAACTCATACTGAGAAGCAGAATCCTGTGATCCTTACAGAGTGGTCCGGATCCGAATCCATTCCGACACTGTCAGGGGGAAAAAGGAGAAATAAAATGACTCCCAGAGTACGATCACGTAAAAGCTAGAGATTCCGCCCTCCGCCACCACCCCTACATGAGTGCTGGGGGGGCGGGGCCACCCACGAGGCATCCCCAGGGTCTCAGTGCCCCACACTCACCGGATTCGCATGAAGGACAGCATCTGCGTGGTGCCCCCTCCGCACACCCATACGGTGAAGAAGACGATGAGCAGTGTGGTGGAGAACATCATCTGCCGAGCGTAGGTGGCTGTGTCCCGGATGGAGAGGGCGAAAGCCATGGCCCCGCGCAGCCCTGGGGGGGGGAGGGGGGCGCCCTATCAGCACTAGCAGGGGAAGCGGGTGAGAGCTCTCCAAAGACCCCTATCTCTGGCCTCGCAGACCCCCAGAACCCTGCAGATGGCAATACCTGCAAACATCATGACGTGCTGGAAGTTGGAGCCGATCTTGTTCTTCCGGCCCAGGTTGAGCAGGAGGGACAGGGGGTAGATGTTAGCAGCCCTGCCGAGGAACACAGCCAGCTGGGGGCGCAGTCAAGGAGAGCCTGGTGAGGGCAGCAGGGCGGGAGAAGGCAGCAGGGCAGGGCGTCTAGCTCAGGGAAAACCTCCACAGAGGAGGAGGGGGACTCTGGCTGTCCTCTAGAAGACCTCAGCTATGATAAATCACTTTAAACTGCTTATAATGTAAGTACTGTAATGTATATCCATCCATCCATCCATCCATCCATCCATCCATCCATCCATCCATCCATGCACTTCTAACCACTTATCCTGGTCAGTGTTACGGGGGACCTGGATCTCAGCCAGAATATGGCACAGGGCTAAGGTTAGTGAGCATGCCACTGAGTTAGAACATAAGAACATAAGAACTATACAAACGAGAGGAGGCCATTCGGCCCATCGAGCTCGCTTGGGG